AGAAAATGATAGGGTAGCTTAAGGAAATCAGGAAAGTACATTAAGGAATCAAACATAGTAAAGAATAAAAGCATTGAACCCACAGTTTAGTAGCCAACTCAGAATCCTTCTCAGACCAAAGGGGAGCATTGCCAGTTACCATGCCAGAATGGCAGATGCAACTGGATGGTGGCTGGCCACTTGGGCCAGTTTGGGACAACTGGGGGATATACAGCCATCCTCTCTGAAAAGAGCCTTAACTACTTACATGCAACACAACTCTCAGATTCATATGATAGCTCTGATCTCTTGTACTTTAGCCCTACCCAGGCTTCTAAGAGCTCAAGGCATTCAAAGGAAGCCACCATCAGGGGACAGAACAAATGAAAACTGCTGTTGAGGGACAGAGGATAGCTAGAGAGAGTGCAAAATAAGCCCAGCATCCCTGAGGTTGAGTCTGCTCTATAGATCACTGCATGTCTCATAGTCTCTGTCTCTTCCATATGTTACATCCCAACTTGGGGCCTCTTTGTCTACAGATTTTAGAGAACCAAACAACTTCTTTAAAAAAAAAATCTTACTTCCTTCCCACCTACTTCTTTGACTCCCTATATTCTATTTCTGCAGATGGCTGGAGAACTTGAGGACTTATGAGCAGGAGTTACAGGTATGTGGGTTTGGGGCAGAGGTGAGTACAGCAGAGACACTGACTCCTCCGCATGTACCAGCTGGCTGTACTGCTGCTGTAGCCAGCCCTGTGCATACCTGTGGTCATGGGAGAAAGGCTGTGTCATCAGAGCCTGAGAATGAAGACAGAAGAGGAAGGATCTACGTTGAGACAAGAGAGGAGACTTCAATAAAGTCGGTATTGGATGAGGAAGGATGAATGCATACAACCTCAGCATGCAGATCAAAAGCCAGTAGTTTCATGTCCCAAGAAGCAGCCAACATGGTAGGAAGCCAATTCTCTTTGCGCCTTCTACTGAGATACAGCAGGGCTGGGAGTTTGGAATTGCCCAGGCCCTAGAGAAGATTTGTACCACTCTTTCTTGGTTCATTGAGCATTGCTATCAATCCCCACAAGAGTCATAAACTCCTCATACAATGTATACTCAATGTATATGTGGGCCATTTTCTTTTACTAAACTACAACTCTCAGAGGGCATTCACCCTGTCAGTCAATGTTCTTGGCACACAACAGGGTTCAAATAATACCTACTGATTGAATGAAGGCCCGTGTCCGTGGCCACTTCTGGTGCTACTATTTTTTTTGACACCAAAAAACTTCAGATTTTTTGACAATCTAAAGTTCCTTCATCTTATGTTTTTTTTTTCAGAGAGAGAGAGAGAGAGAGAGAGAGAGAGAAGAGAGAGAGAGAGAGAGAGAGAGAGAGAGAGAGAGAGAGAATTTTAATATTTATTTTTTAGTTATCGGTGGACACAACATCTTTGTTGGTATGTGGTGCTGAGGATCGAACCCAGGCCGCTCGCTAGCCAGGTGAGCGTGCTACCGCTTGAGCCACATCCCCAGCCCTCATCTTCTGTTTTTTATCTCTTATGGTTATAGCCTTTCTGTAAGTGATTCACCATCAATGACTCATCACCCCCTAGAGAAGGTAACCAAAATTAAACTTTCAATTTCACCCACAGAATCTACTCTTTCTTTCCTGTCCTGAAACTATCCATTTTCCAAACAAGAGCAAATCTTCAGTTTTTCCTAAATGCAATTATTTTCTCTGCCCAAATGAGGGACAATTTGTGAAGTATAGATGATGGAGTCAGGTAGAGTTGAGTGAGAATCCAACTCTGTCTTCGGGTTAGTTATCTCTAAGCTTGAGATCCCCATCCTGCTACCAATGGCATAAGGTTGCTGAATTATAATTATTGATATTTTAAATAAATATTTATTTTAGGTATTAGTAGTAGCTGTTTTACTACCTTATTACGTAGTTACTAAGTACTAAGAACCATGCAATAACCATGCTATTACTTTAATCTTCACAACAACTTGGTGAGGAAGGTTCTCATGTTACCTCCATTGTCCCAGAAGGAGGAGACTGAAGCTGGTTAAGGACCTTGCCCAAGGTAACAGAGAGCTACTAAGTGTGGGAAAATAGAAACTGAAACACAGGCAGTGGAACTTCAGGACCGAGGCTACATTGACTGGCAAGAAGAACGGTAATGAATAGTTTTCAAAAAGTCATGACAACGTTAATTCTATGTTGTTGTCAGAATTTATTGTTTTACCATCTTAGATCTCTTTTACTATCACTAAAAAAGTCTACCCTAATTTCCTGTGCAGATGACATTTTTTTGTGTGTGTTTGTGCCCTCAGTATCACAGTATAATAAATTACTAGGTCTGCTTCCAGAAAACAAGATGAGGGGGAAGGAGGAGATGACACAGTGATGTTTGCTCGTCTAGGAGTCTCACTCACTGGCTGCCATTTGTTTATTGCCCAAATGTTTGACTTGGCCCCTAAAGCCCTTCGACACTAGAATATCAACAGAGTCATAACATTCAAAGTCAATTTATTTTCCTCACTTTGTTTTCTTTCTTTTCTATGTGTTTTAAGATCTCCCTCTTCAATGTGTAACTAATATTTATCCAAAGTACCAGTTTTTGCCAGATTTTGCCTATGGTCTCTCTACACATTTTATTTTTTAATTTCCAGAGACACTTAAATTTGTAACTTACTAAGCATTTATTACACCATTAGCCCTATCCAATTGTTACTAATTTATGTATAAAGGAGGATGAGCTTAAAAAAAATAAAATAATAGAACTGAGCTCATTAGCTGCTCTCAAGAGGCGTACCAGTTTTTCCTGACTGTTCTTTTATTCATGTTCAGGGTCCTGCAAATGATAATCACTTATTATTGGATTCAACCAAAGCCTACTAAATATCTATAAGTGAATACCAGAAAGAGAGTTGCCCTGTAATTATTTATAAGAAAATAAGCATTAGGGGATAAAGATGAGGTGGCTTAGGCTAACTTTGAATAGGCAAAGCCAAAGATAATGCTAATCATTGTGTTCCCATGTCTTCTTATCAGCTACTTGTTCCTGAAAAGGCTTAACATGCAGAAAGTAGTTCCTAAGTAAACAAAGCAAAATACTCCTAAATCTGAGAAGTTTCTGTCTTTGGTGATGAGAGAATGACATATATCCCACTACGGTAAGTTAAAGACCTCCATTTTTGATGGATGAGTATACTCAGAAATATTTCTGATTTTAAAGAGGCCCTCGGCTTCTATTGTGATGGACAGGTGAGTCTCAATTCTTCAGCTTCTCATTATTTTTCTTCCTTGCGACTTTCAGACATCTGGTAATTTATACATTTGGGACTATCTTATTATGTGGCAGCTGAAGTGAAAATGGCAATTATTACTTTCAGTACAGAACAACTGAGAAGATGGTGCAGCCTCCTGCAGGAGGGCTCCAGTTGCTAAAAGATCCATACAGAAAAGATGCGGGCACTGGCCTCATTTCCTATACAAAGTGGTGCCTGGGGAAGGGCACATACCTGCTCTGCTGAAGCAGGCCTGGCAACTTATCATCCAGGAGCGCCACACACTGAAGTAATTATGCCCTGGGCTGCAGCTCAGCGGAGGAGTCATGTCCTGAGTCACACATGCATGGAAATCTGTGATATATGTTTATCCTATGACCTGACATTAGGAGAGTCAGAATTAACTCCTCCTCAACCCCAGGTTAACACCATTAGTCATTAAACATGGGCTTCTTTACACACATCTCCAAGGAGGTGACAAATGACAGGATGTAATGCCTAGACCTTAAGTGTTAGGAGACCGAAAAGCAGCCTTCAGATGTTAACTCCCTTCTTTTCCTCCCAAGAACACAAGGATGGAAAAACTGGGGATGGTACTAACATCTATAACCCCTATCTTAACAACCCTTAATCACCACCTCTATCCCCCATCCTGCGTGAGGACCTTTCTAAATTTTTTTTTTCCTGTAAGCACAGAGGAACACTGAAGACAGTGAGAAAAAGGAAAACACAATTCTCTGTTCTAGGATCACACTTATAAACTATTCCTTATATTCTTCCCCAAAAGAATAGCTTTTCTTCAAAACTTTGGGAATCACCTGGTCATTATCTAAGCTTAAATGAAAACTTCTCACCTGGTGAGTGATAGCAGACATTTAAAAAGACATGACACTGGTTTTCCTCCTCTTTTAAGCAATTGAACTAGAAAAACTATTTAAGGTTCTTCCACTTCTAAAATGCAGGCATGCCATAATTTCCAAACTCAAAAGAACCACCCCCTGCAAATCTGAACCGAGTGCCTGCTATCTACACCACAGCAAGACTTCAGGATAATAAGAACATGCATAGTAATATACTGCTTCATACCCAGCCCTGGGCCTCCTTAAGAAAGCTATATACAAAGCCTGCTAACCTATAGAGGGGAAGAGAAAGTGATTGTTTTTCCCTTTGTTTCTCCTTCAGAAAAAGACCCCTCATTTTACAGTTGGCTACTTTTATTCTGCTTATTTTGACTTGAATTATTAGTACTGCTCAGATTTGAAAATCCTTTAATAACCATTCTGAAGACTAACAAGCATAAAAAAAAAATCACAGTCAGTTGTAAATTAATCACTGGTGAATTTCAAGCCAGTACTCTTGCATATTATTCTAAAGGAGATACTGTGATTTTCAGGTCACAATTCACGTGGTACAGCAGAATCCTTCACGCTGAGCATCAACCAAGGCAAATATTGTCCATGGTTACCCCCAAAGACAGAATCCCATTCAACATGGGGTCCACAGCTGAGGTTTGCATGCTATCAAAAATATGAAAAGCCCGACATCTCGCTCACCACATTCTCTCAGTGAGCTAAACCAAAGCACTGGGAACTGCATGTATGTTTTATCGAGGGGACCAGAAAAAGTGTGCAGATTCACTCAGAGACCAGAAAAAGTGAGGCACATAGGAGCAAAGCAGCCCCCTCATCCAAATCAAAGCCCTGCCGGGCAAGAAAGTTGCTCCACTTACCCAGCATAGCGGTTGTTGTAAAGGTGACTGTGCCCTGGTTGCAGAATCCTCAAAAAAAGCCAGCAAAGAGGTAGAAAAGCAGCTGGCTGGCTCCTGGGCTTCCCGAGGAACTTCATAGCGTTACAACGAGAGGAGTTGAAAGTTACAGCAGTCACCAGAGGAGGCTGGAGGTAGCTCACAGCACCCCCTGCTCACCACGCACGTTGTCTGGGAAGGGGGTGGGGGAGGCTTGGGAATGAGCAAAATGTGACACTTCTTTCCAGCCACAAGGAAAAAAAAAAAAAAGTTTAGGCTGCTAAGGAAGGGAAGTTGCTATTAAGACTTGGTCTTGGGAGGAGAAGCTGCAGCCCAGCCCAGCCCAGCCGGGGAGCCTGATCCTTAATCAGACTCCCCTGGAAGGGGCTGGGCCTCCATGGTGCTGACTCATGGCAGGGGTTGCTGGGTGCTGCTTCTTTTGGGTAACTCTTCTCTGTTTTGTGGTTGATTTGCTTTGCCAGTTTAAGGCTCCTACATTTTTTGGACAACCATTCTCCCTCTTACCTTCTGTATAAGGACCCTGACCTAATTGCAAACAGTGTGTCTGAGGATGAACTCAGTAAAAGGCACTTCAGAACATTCCAGGCTTCATGTTTTGCTCTCTGACGACAGATTTCTGCACTGGTTCCCTGCATAATGAAATGCACAGTGCATCATATTGATGAGCACATGCACAGGAGGAATCTGTGCCACCTGGATTAGAGAAGTTGGCCTCAGCTGCCTCTCCTGACGGTACTGGGAGGGAGCAGCAGCTTCCTTTGGCCACAGGGAGCTCTATGGTATTCCTTCTGCATAGAAGCACCCAGTTCTTCTGTGATTTTAGAAGTTCTCATGGAGGCTTGGGGGCCTCCAAGAGCATTACTACCCTGGCTGCACATTTGGAATCATTTAGGGAACCCAAGCATTTAAATCAGAATCCCAAGGGGGTAGAATCAGTAATTTGAAAACTCCACCAAATGATTCCAATGTTCAACCACTGCGCTGGTCTAGAGCAGGCTTCTCAAACTTCAGTACAAATCACCTGGGGTTCCTGTTGCTCAAAAGCTTTGGCATTCTAGTAGGCTGGGCCTAGGGCCTGAGATTCTGCATTTCCAATGAACTTCCAGGTGATAGTGATGTGATAGGCTTTCCAAGCACACTTTAAAAAAGCAAGAGTTGACTTTAGAATGAGGTCTGCCTTTTTTCTTCCTCTAAAGGCAAAGGCAAAAACAAACAAACTAATCTAGAAAGAACCATTTCCTTCTCATTTTTTTCCCCTTATCAGTGATGGAGAAGCTGTTTTTGTTGATTTGTTTTTGCATTCATTGCTTCTACCTGAACACATCAGGAAAACCATTTTGGGGGTGTGCTTTGCTCCATTAATGAGAACAATCTTATCTAGGGTGCCTCCTGTGACCTCATGCCACCTCCTGGTAGCACTCTGAAAGGGAGAACAAGCCAACATCTCCATCACACTTGGTCACGTTTCCTGAAAAGTGGTGCCCAAGAACTCCTGTACCTTCCATTTTGACAGCCCCGAGCAACTGTTAGAAGAGAAAGCACCAAACCTTTCCCATCTTCTCTCCATGGGGAGTTCAACCAAGCTCCTTTGACAGGTTCGATTTCAGGCTCATGACAGCTGAAATGACTTTCATTTAAAATGGCTCTGAAATTTTCTTCAACTTTCCCAGCGTCAGTCAATTGAGTTAATTTCTTTTTCTGTGTCCCTCCCCCTACTATCTGGCAAGTCTTCTGCCATAAGACTCACTACACAGAATCAATATCTTTGTCTAATTTCTTCACACAACTGCCTTCTCCTATAATGCAGAACTGTATCCCTTAGTTCTTCATACACATGCAGCTACTTACACTTCCTGGAGAGAAGCAAAACATGCATGGAAGGAATGATCAGGAATGCTTATTAAGTGAATGATAAAACTAGGAAAAGATTCAGTCAACTCTCTGTAGCTAAAGGAAAGAACACATAGGCAGCTGAGATGCCTTGGGGGAATGGAAATTCCCCAGATCTCCTGGTTTTGTTTCTTTCTTTGTTTATATTGTTATTTTCTTCCTTCCTGACTTCATGGCCTAGTGCTTTGGTCTTTCTAAGCTGAAAACGCTGCTCTGCAAGGCTCACAGGGATTCTTGAGGCCTTTTTGACAAGGCCAAGAACGTCTACACAACAGCCAGTGAACTGTTGAGACAAGAGGTTGCTGTGTAAATAAAACACTTCACCTCTTTGCATTTCAATATGTCAGAACAATGTATAAATCTGTCATATTATATCACAACATTAAACCAGGAATGTTCAGTCTCTGTCTAGGGATTAAGCTCATCTTCAAATCATTCTGGAGGACTGGATCCGGCAAACATATTCAACACAGGCCTCTCTCAGATTCTGAGACCGAGGAAATAATTTCTTGAACCATTGAAAATGCAAAAGACCCTGGCAATATCCTGTAGCCTTCCTAAAAATTTCAGATCAAAGAGAGGTTCTCAAACAATAGAAATCATTCCTAGCAATCTTCCTCGGCTTTCTTGAGGACCAGGTTATCTGATTAAACTTCTCTTGGAGAAGATAAGCTCCCATAAAAAGAGTGATAAATGAAGTCCATTTAGCAAGTGGGAGGAGAACAGTTTTTTATAGATGGATTCAAAGATAAAAGTTCCATTTTTTTAAGGCACTGAGAGGGAGTGAATTATTAAGCCAGTTACAGATTTGAAGATGAGAAATTCTATTTATTGGCTATGCCTTTCTCATATTTTAGTGAAAGAGGGAAATTTATCACAAGAAACATTATTATGCAGAGAAAGAAAGGAAACTACATTTGGGAAAGAAAGATGTCACACTGGATTGGGTCTGTTGGTGATCATTAGATAACTTTTAATATCTCTTTCAGATCTGAAATTTAATATTATTAGAGGAAATATTTTGCAAATCCTCTTCGTAATCATATGAGTGAGAGCCACATAGGTTTATTTTGGGGAAGCTATCTGGAGGAGATAAGTGGATGTGTTGGGCTTTGTAGAACAGGCAACCTATCCATCGCATTTGGTTTGGAACCCATTTCTCAATGTCCTATTAGCATAGACCTTATTGCCTACCAGGTCTGTTTTACAGTTTTCTACCATTGTTCTAACCAGAGGGAATAGGAAACATGACATGAAGTTCCTGCCTTGTGGTTTGGCACTTTTGTGAGGAATGTTCTGGAGCTTCTTTGACAACACATTGCCAATGAATCTCTCTCCCCTCTACCTGATCAGCTTCTCCTGCTTTCTCCTGGTCTTCAGTCATTCTTGTATCCACCATCCCTATTTCTTTGTTCTTTTTTGAATTTGTTGTTGTTTTATGTCTTCATTTTTGTCCAGCCTTCTGAAAAGCACACTCTTGAACCCTGGCAATGGCTTTCCCTTCCTACCACCCTGCTGAAGTCTCTCTCAATGGTCAGCAGTGACCTCTCAGTGGAAAAACACTCTGCCCTCACCTGACTTCATGTTGCTTGGTTTCTGAGGCTGTTCACCGACCCTCGTTTGAAACTCTCTTCTTCCTTGGGATTTGGGACACTATCTTCTGTTCTTCTGCTTTTCTAGGGCTCCTTTTTATGTTTTGCCTGCTTAAAAAGTCAGCGTTTCATGGGGGCCTGTGTCTGGCCCTCTTTTCTTCTTCATCCATAAAACTCCAAATGTAGCTCTGATGTGACCCATAGTGCTGGTGGAAGGCCTGACACCCGGTGGTTCAACAAATTCCACAGGAACAAGTCACTGATGCTGTGATAGACAGTTAGCAAGGTAGTGTTCTGTAGGAGTAGACATTAAACAGTGTATGAGAAGAAGCCAGCAGACCCTGAGGAGGAGGGCAATGTGTAGGGTGAGGGACGGGGACAACAGCACTGCAGACACAGGGAACAACATGTGCAAAGAAGCACTGTTCACAGCTTACTACTGTCCTTCACTGAATGTCAACAGGACGAAGAGTGACAGGTAGGTGTCTCGTCTGGGCATTCAAGGACCTTGCAAACTTTTCCTTTTTTATCTTCTTCAATATTCACTCAATTCTTCTGATCCTTTTCCTCCCTCTGTGTTTGTTGGCAGTGTTTTCTGGGTAATGATGGCTACCTCTTTCCAGCTAAGTCCTTCTGACTCTTTAAGGCCCAGGTCAGTCTCTTCCATGAATCCATTCAAGACCATTTTTATCCACAGCAGTCACTCTCTGAAAACCAACATTTATTCACATGCACCCCATGCTTCAGTGGGTGTTGCATTTAATATTACAATTTGTTTTAAACTCCTCAGGGCTGGTACCCTATTATTTACACCTTCATGTTCCATAGTGCCTAGGGCGAGCTGGGTCCACAGCAGACATCCACTAGCAAAGCCATGGGATTTTCAGCCTGATTCTCCAAGGAACCTCTCAACCAAATCCTAGACTGCACCCTTGTCCTTAGGCAGATATCTCAAAAGAAAAGTCCTGCTCGCTCCAGTGAAAAGCAATTTCAAGAGCATGTCTTTTTAATGGGCAAGCCTATTATTATAATTTTAGGTCCTTGTAATTATGTTACAAAGATGTTTTATAGCATTTATAGAGCAAAATCAAAGTAGCTTGATGTAAGCAGGTAGACATGAATTCTACTTGATGGTTCAGAGTTGTAGCTGGCTTCTGTTTTCTCTCTCCCAATCTCCCTTCTACTTTCCCATCTTTCTGACTTGACCCCAAGATGTATGAAGAAATAAAGTAGGGAAAACACAGAAGATAAAGATACCTTTAAAAATTGCTATTTCTGATGAACAGGGAAGAGATGTATATGACATTAATTGTTTTAATGAAAATTAAGAAAACATGGAGAGGGATGAAGTAGAAGACAGATTAAGAGAGTTTGATTACAGGGCTAGGGATTATAGCTCAGTGGTAAGATGCTCGCCTGGCATGCTTGAAGCCTTGGGTTCAATCCCCCATACCACCAAAATAAATGAATAAATAAATATTAAAAAGAAAGTTTTATTAGAATAAGTTCTAAAGCAGGATCAAAGCAAATGAATGGAGACTACTCTCCTATCCATCTGCCTAAGGCAGTGGGAAGTCATGGGGGGAAATATATATATATATATATATATATATATATATATCAGAAAAGATTCAAATGTTCACAAAACTTTATATTTAAACAAGATTAGATAGAGGGGAAATTTCAAATATGACAAGACTCAAAAGAAGAGAGCTGCCTTAAGATAAAAAGCTGTTGTAGGGAAGAAAATAAATCAGGCAAAAAGTGCTGTTTCGCCTGGGGACACACTGGGGAGACACTGGCAAAGGTGGAT